TTGGAATTGCAAAAGGAAACAAAAAAAAATGATCCCTGCTGTCAAGAAGCATACGTTGTTTTAGGGGACATAACATATATACATACATACATACATATCTTCGGGAAGATAACATACATACACATAGATATAAAGGGAGATAACACGTACATATATATTTTAGGAGATAATATGTACATTGTGGTTGTGGTTTGTCCTTTGTTCTCGAAGAGGACATCAGGGAGATGATGACATGACTTGCAACTGAATTTTATTTGAGTGAGAGAGGGCTGTGCAAAGTCACTAACCTCACCTTCTCCTCCAGAGCCATCTGGGTCCAGTGGCCAGATATCGATGTCTATATGTATATTTTAGAGGAAGGGCCACTAGGTGGCGGTAGTGGATAGAATGCTGGGCCTGCAATCAGGAAGACTCATCTCCGATGCAAATCAGACACTTAGCTGTGTAACCTTAGGCAAGTCACTTAACCCTGTTTGCCTCAGTTTCCTCATCTATAAAATGAGCTGGAAAAGGAAATGGCAAACCACTCCAGTATCTCTGCCAAGAAGACTTCAAATAGGGTCATGAAGAGTTGGACACAACTGAAAATGACTGAACAATAACAATAGTATTTTAGGGGAGATAACATGTAAATATACACACACACCCCACCCCCCCCACACCCCCACACCCCCACCCACCCACCCCCATACATTTTAGGGGAGATAACACAACCAGGTTGCAACTTATCTTTCTAGCCTCACACATCACTCCCTGATACAATCAAACGGGCCCCTTCTCTGTTTTTTACACAAAACATCCCATCTCCAATCTGTGTGCCTTTGTGCTAGGTCTCTCCTCCTTTCCTGGAGTGCCCTCCCTCCTCAGCTCTACCTCAAAATTCCTTTCTTCCTTCAACGTGCCACTCAAACACCACTTTCACCAGAAGGAAACCTTTCCTTATCTCCCTAATTGCCAGTGCCCTCTCTCCAAAACTACTTTGTATTAAATTATTTTGTATTTTTTTATCATATATATATATATATATATATGTATACATACACACACATATCTATATATACTTTCCTCCTGTTAGAATGTAAGCTTCTTTAAAATTGGAATCATTTTATTCTTTGTTTTTGTATCCCCAGCACAGTGCCTAGCACAAGTTAGGGAACTTAATAAATACTTGTTGAATAATTGATTGAACACAGTGTCACCCCTGCCCTATATAGTTAAGTACCCTTGTCTCCTTGGGTTTCTTTCTTTTCCCTCAAGATTAAGGAAACAATGTGGGTCTACCTACCCCCTCTGGATAGCTTTATTAGCTAGGTCCAACTTGTCCCAAAAGGACTTCATACCTCCCAGTTGTAATCAGATGGCAGTAGTTGGTTAATTTTCCAAGTTCATCTTTGCAAAAATTGTTTTCCTAAATTACTCCCTTCTTGAGCTGTCTTTCCCCCTACTTGTTACTTTTCTCAAGCCCAGATACCTGGGCTAAGGCATTAAGCTGTCGACAGCTTTAGAGGAGGCCCCCACACTCAATCTGGGCCCAGAGTCCTAAGAAGACAAATTCCAAGGGAATTTAGGAAACAAAAGAATATTATACTTCTTTTAGAGATACCATTTAATTTTTGTTATGCTTGTACTCATTTATTTTAGGCCCTGGCATGTGCTTGTTTTCTTTGCTGTCAATATGGAACATCATCTTTGCAAGGAAAGGAAAAATAATGTTCCTTTCTTTTGAGTTCCACCTGAGATTTCTGTTGGCTCTCAGTGTGGTCACCCTTTTACCCATCCCATTTTCTCTCAGTTTTTGTCTCTCTTGGTGTCTTCTTGGCCTTGCTTTCTGCCTTTCTGGGCCGTAGTAGAAGACAAAGTCAACTTTCTTTCAGAAATTTATGCCCTTCCCTTTTCTCTGAATGCAGGTCCAGAGGAGGAGATTGAAGAGCTGTGTGAACAGGCAGTGTGAGATGGGACAGGCTCCAGCTCAAGGCCTCCAACAACAATGTGCCCTGGATGACTTGGCACCTAGCCCAGCTCAGAATCCCTGCTTCCCTCCCCTTCTGGAGAAGAAAGGGCTCAGTGAACACCCTTTCTTTGGCTGTACTCAAAAGTGCCAGTGGAGGGGAAAGGGATGATGGTGTTGAGAATGCTGTCCCATATCCCTGGTTTTGTTTCCTGCCCTTGGCTCTGGAATGATGGCTTCTGCATATTGGTCCTAGCTGAGATCTGCAGTGCCTAGCAGGGCTTCCCAGCTGCTGCTTTTATGAGCCTGGCTGTCTTCCAGATTAAACCTTCTGAAGACAGCCATGTTTAGGGGTAACTTCTGAGCTATTTCTCTTTCCACAGCCCACTAGAGACCAGATGGTTTCATTCCCTATATTGATTCAGAGCTCTAGAGAACACTATAGTTGTGTGGTTCACTGGAAAGGCCTAACATATTTAAAGCCAGGGTATAACATGTTTCCTAAATCACTCAGTGTCCTCAGGGTGGGCTCATAGGGTCCTGACAAAGCTGCCCAAGCCTAGTCCCCAGTGTGGCTTTTAGAAACTCCCACTGTTGCAGAAGCAACCAACATTTCAGTGTTTATGTGATCCTGGGCAAGTCACTTAACCATATAGGGCTTGTTTTGTCATCTGTAAAATCAGGGGCAGGAAGCAGGATTTGTGTTCTATGAACTGTAAGGTTCCTTCCGGTTTTAAATCTATGACTGTACTTCTAAAGCTACCTCACAGTAGCTCTCTTCAGAACTTCTCTGTTCTTTCCCCATCCCTACAGGTGGCATAAGGAACTGGTATAGGAAAAGAGAAGCAATTCATCTGAATAGACGGGAGAAAGTAGGAAAGGGCAGGGAGGAGACTTGAAGCATTTAGGTCCTAAGACCAAAACTGGAGAGAGCATAGGAAGGAGGAAGTCGAGATAAGATCCATGAGGCTAAGGTCATGGAGGTTCAGCCCTGAAATGTGAATCATACAGATCCCCTTGTAATAGGGAAGGTGTGAAAGGAAGAGTAGGGATGGAACAAAAAGTTACAGCTATTGGCTCATTAAGAGCAGGGGCAGGGGCTAGAGGGATCTAGTTAAGATGGTGCCTACCCTGGGACAACTGAAGCCTTATACCACTCCTCTCTTTTTGGAATGGGAATTCGGGGGAAACAGGAATAACTCCATGGAAGCTCCAGGGTTTCTTAAAACTGGTGGGGATAAGCAGCATCTCAGAACCCACATGGTTATATTTATATCTGAACCAGACACAGAAAGATGCTCGAATCAGGCACTATGTTGAGAAATGTATTTATTTACTAATATATTTATCCGCATAACAGGTCTGGTTTCGTGTTTTTGTTTTTGAATGTCACCTGAATCATCAGGGTCATCAACAGAAATTATTTTTGAATATCTGGGGGGCTAGGAAAGAGTGAGGCAGTAGAGTTGAATGTAGGAGATATTATGTATCCCTTCACCTCCAGACACATGCAATTAGGAGTTGACATTTTGGATAGGTGGCTCAGTCACAATTTACCTTTGGGCAAATAAAATGTTGCTTTCTGAATTGTAAAGTGGATTGGGGTGTTGGGGAGCTTTCATGGGGTTTTGAAACAAATGAGATAAGGTCTTTTCAAATAAGAGTTATAAAAAGAAAAAATTCTTTCAAACGGTCTAATTTAGCAGGGTTTTAAAGATAGGGTCTGAATAATGATGATGATGATGATGTCAGGGGCAAAAGTATTGGAGAAGTCAATTTTGTCTCTCTCTACTGGCTACTTCACAGCAAGATGGTACCTCAGTTGATGGGTAGGAGAGTCAGTCAACAAGAATTAATAGCCTAAGTGTCAGGTATTATGCTAAGAACTGAGGCAAAAATGGCCCCTGCCCTCTAGGTCAAACTATGTACATACATATGATACACCTATATTCACACATAACTCCCACAAACACTTTGGTAGGGGAAAGTCATGTCAGCCAGAAAGCGCTGGCAGTAAGGGGGACCGTGAAAGGGTTCTTTTCTGAAGGGCTTTTAGCCAACAGTAGGAGTAGAGATGGAGGCCACTGCAAGCATAGGAGACAGTCAGTGAAAATGCATGGACTCTAGAGGTGGGGTGTCCTGTGCCAGGAGTAGCAAGAAGATTGGATCAAAGACCAAATTCGGGTAAGGTCTAAGAAGACTAGACAGGAAGGGGCCAGGGTCCTGGAGGGCTCTGAATGCCAACTAGAGAATTATCTGATCCTGGAAGGGAGAAGAAGCCGAGGGCTGGGGGTGGGGGAAATGCAGGGGAGCTTGAGCGAGGCCCAGCAGCCACTGCAGCAGTCCACCCAGCCAGAGGTGAGAGGGGCTGCCCCGGGGCCTGCCCAGGAGCGAGAGGGAGGGGAGGCCGAGTTTGGACTCAGAAACTGTACGAGACATCAGTTCAAGTTGCTTTTATCTTCCCATTTTTACATGGAAGTAAATGGCAGGTAGGGTCCTAGCGGGCTGAGCGCTTCCTCAGTCATGTGGGAGAGCCCTGCAGGGAGGTGGCGCAATTGGCATTCTCGGCTCTAGAGGTGGTAACGCGACGTGTGTGAGCGTCAAGGCGTCGATTTTTTAAAAATCCCCAATGTTGATCCAAGTCCCGGAAGAGCTTTAACACTTGAATTCAACAACACGAGATAATCTCGTGGGAGACGCGATTTGGGGGCCAGAACCCGTCTACGCCTCTCGCGCGACCCAAAGCCCAGGCGGAGAGAGGAGGGGCTTCCGCGCGCAGCAGGCGGGTTCTCTTTCCTTTAGAAGACGAAACAGCAGCGTCTCCCGCGCGCTCTGGCCCCACGAGATTTCAGACGACCGCCTCAACAGCCCAGCTCGCCCCCGCGCGCCCGACCCAGGCAGGGGGAGCAGGCCAGGAGCCAGGTGTCAACCCGGCCCCGCCCTCTCGGTGGGAGAGACCATATCGCGGCAATCTGAGGGGGGCGGAAGGAACGAGCGGAAATTCCTGTCTGGGGGCACGCCCTCGCCGGATGTTGTCGTATTTCGGAGTGGGCGGGACGAATACTTCCGGTACAGTGTATGGAGAGCTAGACGAGAAACGTTTTCGGCTGTGGTTGGTGAAGTTTTCTTCGGTTCCGGGAGGCAGCGATGGCATTGGAGACGGTTCCCAAGGATTTGCGGCACCTGCGAGCTTGTCTTCTCTGTTCCTTGGTCAAGGTACCGGCTCGGGGTTTGGCGAGTGTCTGTAGAAGGGATGGGGGCGGGAAGGGGGAGAAGGAACCAAGGGAAGGAGAAAACACAAGCTCGTGAAAAGCCTTTCACAACTAAATCCGTCAACATGCATTTATTTAGTGTCTACTGTGTGCCAAGCACTGTGGGCTAAGCAACTGGCGATATGAAGGTCGCAAACCACCAGTCCCTGCTTTCAGGGAACTAGCTAACAGTCTAGTAGGGAAATCTATTAGTGTATATACTAGTATATTGACATGTAGTATATATACAGGGTAAACTGGAGATACTCTTAGAGGGAAGACATCAGCATTAAGGGTGATTGGGAAAGGCGTCTTCAGAAAGTGAGATTTTAGCTGGTACTTGAAGGAAGCCTGGAGTTAGAGATAAGCAGGGAAGCCTTCCCGGCATAGGGGACAGCCAGTGAAAATACCTGGAGTTTGAACGTGGAGTGTCTTGTTTAAGGAACAGCCGAGAGGCCCATGTCATTGTATTGAAGACTATGTGGGGGTAAGTAAGGTGTAAAAACACTGGAAAGGTAGTAGGGGCTTAGGTTATGAAGGGCTTTGAATGGCGAGGAATTTTAGGTTTTATCTGAGATATGATGGAGTCACTGGTATTTATCAAATAAGGGGTGTTACATGATCAGGCCTGTGCTTTAGGACGATCAGTTCCACAGCCAGATAGAAGATGGACTGGAGTAGGGGGAGAACCAGCAGAAAGACCAGATATCAGGGTATTGCAGTAGTCCAGGCTGAGGTGATAAGGATTATACTGGAATAGTAGCAGTGTCAGGAGAAGGAAAGGGATGTTTAGGAAAAACGTTACAAAGGTAGAAATGCCAGCTGATTGGATGTGGGGAGTGACTGTGAGGATTTGAAGTTGATGCCTAAGTTGCCAGCCTGAGTGACTTTGAGAAGATGGTGGTGCCTTCTGTAATGATAGGAAAATTAGGAACAGGAGAGAACTTATGGGAAAGATCAGTGAGTTCAGCTTTGGAGATGAATCATATACCTGAAGCACAGGGCCCAAGCACTTCGTTCCCCTGCTCAAGAAACTTTATTCCTACTGCCCCTAAGATCAGATACAGACTTTTCTGTTTGGTATTTCAAACCCTACACAATCTTGCTTCATTCATTTTCCATCCCCAGACTGATTGCATGCATTTCCCTCATGCACACTGCACTACAGCCAAATGGTACTACAGCTTGCCCTTCCTTGGACACAGAACTGAATGTCCCCCAGCTTTTGCACACAGCCAGTCTCAGGGACCCCCAAGGATGACTGGGTAACACTTGTGAGCCTGTGTCTTAAAGGACCGTGAATTCTTTGAAAGTGGAATGTAAATTCTTTGTTCTTCATTTTATTTTTGTATCCCCAGTTCCTAGTAAAATTACTTGAACATAATGGATGATTAATAAATATTTGTTGAATTTAATCAAGGAGTTAGTTCAGTTAAACAGTAATTCGTTAGGTGCAGACCACTGTCCTGGGATAGATGCAAAGCTTGAATAAAGACGTATTTCCTGCTTTCATAGAATTTACAGCCCAGTGAAGAGACAAAAACATGGAAAACCATAATTCACAGCATCACAAGATAAGTGCTTTAGAGAGGTGCAAACAGCAACTGAAGTTCTGAAGACTAGGGTCAGAAAGAGATGTCAGTTAAATTGTGCTTCAGAAGGTAGGTGTGAATTCAGTCAGTCAAGATGGAGATTTCAGACTTGGAAAAGGGGCTAAGGACACTTTGGGATAGACAGAATACTCTAGTTTTATTGGAGTATAGAATGGAGTAAGCTAAGTAGTAGTATGGAGACAAGGAGATGAGAAATAGAAGAAGGATTGGAGGGAGAGGGGGAGGAGGCTAGAATATTGGATTACAGTGCTTAGACCTGACATAGAAGCTAGGGAAAGGGAGGAGTGTGACAAAGAAAGATCCAGATGGAGGATGTGGTAGAGGGATGGGGGAAGAAGGGAAGGAGGACTGGAGCTGAAGAAAGCTTGGGGTGGGAGGAATGAAATAAATTAAGGAAAGACAGAGCCTAAGTGCCATTTAAGTTGGGCCTGGGAAATCAAGGAACAGGTACTAAAAGGTTGAAGTTGAGAGGGTGGGGTGGATTTGGAGAATTGAACCCAAGGCCTACATTCCCTGGGAATAGTAGCAGGAGAATATCTACATTTTTATCTGGACCTACTAATGCTGCATCCCTTTCATGTTTCTTTAGACTATAGACCAATTTGAGTATGATGGCTGTGATAATTGTGACTCATACCTACAGATGAAAGGTAACCGAGAAATGGTATATGACTGTACAAGCTCTTCTTTTGATGGGTAAGTAGTTTTCACTCTTTTCCTTATTTGTGCCATTCTCTCAAATGTAGTTTCTCGACCTTCTCCCACACTTGCTTTAACTAGCACGGTAGGTAAAGTAACTAGGGCCCAAGCATAGCCTATTTTAGGGAAGGAGAGGAGTCAGATATCGTCTCAGAGGGAAATCTGAGGTGTGACATAGGAAGGGTCCTTGCTGTCTCATTTTGGGGGAGGGTGCTCCATAAAAGTGTTCTCCCTTTGGTCAAAGAAAAAAAACAGTGTAATAATTTCACCATGTACACAGCTGATGTCATTCAAGATTAGGAAATGGTAAGAAAGTAAACCCCAAGGGCTGGAGCCAAAGAACAGAGGACTAGCTTTCCAGAAGGAGTGTTTTAATTTTCATTTGGTTTTCATCTAAACTGGGCAGGACTCTGGCTAATTCAGGAACTGATTGTTTCTCCAGGATGAAACTACCTCTTCTATGTTAAAGGATAAAATGAAACAGGAGGAAATAGCCATGGTAGCTGGCAAGTCTGCTATCTTCCCTTAGTATTTGTGAATGATATTTCCATCTAAACAATTTCCTTAAATTTTTTTTCCTGACTTTTTTTTACCATCTTTCTTTTGATGTAGACCAGTCCTTAACTTTTTTTCATCATAAATCTTTTTTACAGTCTGCTGAAGCCTGTGGGGCCCTTCTCAAAATAATGTTTTTAGGGGCAGCAAGGTGGCACAGTAGATAGAGCTCCAGCCCTGGAGTCAAGAGGACTTGAGTTCAAATCAAGTCTCAGACACACAACACATGACGCTTACTAGCTGTGTGACCCTGGGCAAGTCGCTTAACCCTGATTGCCTAGCAAAAAGCAGGAAAAAAAATAATAATGTTTTAAAAATAATTGAAAGAAATGCTAAAATCCAGTTAGAGGATAGTGAAAATAAAGATGTAATTTGTTTTTCCCATCTAGGTTCATAGGCTCTATGAAATCTACCCAGGAACACCTTGGAGGCTGTGTTTCCCAGATTAAGAACCCCTAGTCTAGATAGTCCTCATTCAACAACTCATACTCCACAAAAAATGTGTTGAACACCTAATAGAATCAACCTAGTCCAGTGCACTTGTTTTATAGATGAAGAAACTCAGGGCCAAGGAGATTTAGTGACTTGCCTAAGGTCACATATCTAGTGGTAGGTCTCTTTCCAGTTCTGTTTCTCTGTGTAGTGTCTCTAGTATGAGCAAGGAACTGCTAGGTCCTGTGGGGTACACCCATAAGTTCCCCTCTAAAGGAGTAAATATCACATCCAGCTGGAGTCATGAGGAAAGGTTACCTAGACTAGCTAGGACTTTGAAGTATGTCAACAGGCAGAAATTGAGTGGAGAAAATGGATTGGGTAGGGAAAGGGGGAAGCATGTATTCCAGACATAGGAAGCAAGATGAATAAAGGCATATTGTAGGAATGCTAGAGTGTCCTAGTTGACTGGATTGTAGGGTATTTGTAAAGGAGATAAGGCTGGAATAAGATGAGATAAGGCTACAAAGGTAGGCTGGTGCCAGCTTGTAGATGGTGTCTTGTAGGCCATTGGGAACCATTAGAAGTTTTAAGCAGTAGAGTGGAGTCATTAGGTGTGTGCATTAGGAAGAATATTGTGGCAGGCTTGTGCAGGATGAATAGAAAGAAAATCGTAGAGACTGGAGGTGGGAAGACTGTAATTTTGAGTCTTTTTGGGCTTAGGTATGTGGTAGATAATAAGCCCCTTAACCCAGGGTGGTAGCATTGGAGATTTCTGGAGATGTTTTGAGAACTTGGTGGATGGGTATGGGGGGGAGTGACAGCAAGCAGGAGTGTTTGAGAGAATAGGACTCAAAGACTATTCTAAAGTTTCCAGCTTGAGTGATTCTGTTGATATAAATAAGGAAGTTATTAAGAAAAACTGGTTTGGAGGGGGTACTTTGGGAAGGGAAGGTGCTCTTTTCTCAGAAGCTCTATGTTTAGTGGTCATATTAGCCATGATCAATGGTGCTCTACTCCTACTCTGGCTACCTATCTCTAAGAATCACCCATTCCCTAGGCTAGGGCAAAAGGTTTTTAACCTGGGGTTGGTAAACTTTAAAAAAAATTTTGAAAACTGTGTTTGTAATCCATTGTATTTTATTTTATTCGTTTAAAAACCTTATTCTGAGAAGCTGATCAGTTGGGGGGGGAGGGGGGCGAGGTGGTCTGTAGGCTTCACCAGACTGCCAGAGTGTTCCATGACACAAAAACCCCTGCCTTAAGGGATCTTGGGACTAGGAAATAGTATAGTGTTTCTGGTACCAGTGAAGTAGTGACTAGGAAAGCTTGTAATGACCAACTTAGGGGTTGTATAAGGATAAAAGTGGATATAGAGACCCTCAGGGATTTTCCTGTGTCTTCCTACTGTCCAGCAAAGAGAAACTCAGGAGACCCTTCTTCTCTACAGGATCATTGCAATGATGAGTCCAGAGGACAGCTGGGTCTCTAAATGGCAGCGAGTCAGTAAGTATCCCCTTCCCTTGTTCCTTTCAGAAATGTGTATTATAGATCCTTTTCCCTCCAGCCCTGTTTGCAGAGAAGGACAGATAGTTCCATTGTTGCTCTTGCGCCTGGGTTCTGGCAGGAGGGTTAGGTTGGGGGAAAGTATAGGAACCATCTTTTCCTTTAGCCCAGAATGAACAATAAACAATCCCTTCTGTTCTAGAGCTTGAGCTCTTTTCATTAGTAGCCTGAGCTGCTGGCCTTCTACATGGTCTTACATATCTCCTTTCATCTCTTTTAGGTACCTTCAAGCCTGGAGTTTATGCAGTGTCTGTCACTGGCCGCTTGCCTCAAGGTATACTGTCTCTCTTTCTCCTCAGTGTAATCTATTCAGGGTTCATGAGGCATCTACCTGGGTTTGTCCTTGTAACAGTCCTTTGTTACTAATAATGACCTCAGAGGAGTTAAGCTGGAGCAGGGGTAGGGAACCTGGGGCCTCAAGGCCACATGTGGCCTTCTAGATCCTTGGGCCTTTTGACTGAGTGAGTCTCAACAGAGCAAATCCTTTTATTAAGGGGATTGTTTTCTGTGAAGTTTGGATTCAGCCAAAGGGCAGCACTTGAGGACATCTCTCTCCCCTTCATTCTCTACCCAATAGCTGAAATGTTCTTGCTTTCTTGTTCTGTGTCTGTTTCTTTCTCACAGAGCTTTCTTTTCTTTTGTTGCAGGAATTGTTCGGGAACTGAAGAGCCGAGGCGTGGTCTACAAATCCAGAGACACAGCAATAAAGACTTAGTGACCCACCAGGGCCTCCAGCCCCCTCTGCCCTTGACACCCCTATCATTGTTGAGTTTTTTGCCTGGAGAACTGTTAGAACATTACTCATTTTCCTGCCTACCTTCCATTCTTCAGCCTTTGAGGGATGTCAGGAGCAATAATGACTGACTGCAGGGACATTGGATTCTGGATTGTTGAAAGAGGGCTGGATTCATAAGATTATGGAAATGTTGAGGCAAGTGCTGTTTATCCCATCTTGAGCACTGGACTTGAGGTTGTATGGGGTCAGAGGATAATAATAAATGTGAACCGTTTCAGTCAGAAGCACCCTTTCTCAAGTTCCTTGGTTCAGAACTCCTTTCACTCAGCTGTGAATAGGGGCCACATTCTTCACTTTGTTAGCATCTTTTGGAATTTGTCAGGCCTCCCTAAAAGATTGCTGACTGTTTGAATCTTCATATTCCAGTTATTTGGGGTTTTGCCTCATTTGAAGCTCTTATAGCCCCTGCTTATTCTACTGACCTATTTGTGGCCAACTTTTTTGGCCTGACCCTAAGAATTCCCATGGTAAAATTAAAGATTCCACTGCTCAGGTCTAGAACAGCCATGAAGAGTGATACCTGAAGCATATCGGGAGAAGGGAGAAGGGACAAGGGGCTGCTGACTACCTTTTTTTTTCCTTTTTGCCTGCCCTTCTCAGAGAGCTAGGTTCCCATCCTAGCTCTGATATCAGTTATGTGGCCTTGGAGAAGCTGCTTAATACTTCTCGGCCTCAGTTCTTCATTTGTAAAATGAGGAGGGTTGCCTTGATATTCCTTTCAGCTCTAAAATCATCATCCTCTCTTCTAGCAGTTTTCCTCTCCTTAGTTTTCCTTCTCTCTTTCCTATTGGTCTTACTGCCAAAAAGGATATAACCTTCAAGGTACTAGGAACTGGTCTAAATGGCACCCTGAATCCAGTTCAGGTAGCTTTCCATTTCTGTACGCTACACTTCGATCCCAATAAATTCCAGCTGGCAGCTCAAAAAGGTTCTTAGGGATCATCTTTATTGCAAACTTAATTCCCAGTTCTTCCCTGACCTGGCCTTGTAGTCTGACCAAACCCCCTCTTTTTTTAGGTCCCTCAGTCCAGCTTTTACTAGCTGTGAAGAAAAAATTAAAATCAGACAATTTATAGACGACTGCTACTGTGATATCTAGTGTAAAGCTAGGACTTTTGCCAAGGCCCCGTAAACTAACCTTGTGTGATTAAGGCTAAACTTAGACTATGATAACTTAGTTTCCCTGCCCATCCATTAATTTGAAGGGTTCCCATATTAACCAGCTTAATCCAGGCCCATCTGACCTTCTTGGGAAGCTATTCCTGCCCACCAGCAGGTAAACCAGAGGCTAGGTAATGATCATCACAGTAGTATAGCTCTTGCCATTTAGGAACATGATAAGCCTTAGCATTCATTTCCTCTCATCATTTTATAGCTACATATACTTTATATAGTATTTATTGTCACCCTCCACCCTACCCGCAATACCTGGAAAAGATTTCCATGCAACTTTAAGCCAGCCACTGCCACCTGCTGGTCTTGTAGCTGCCTCATGGTGGGTCCTTAGGATTGAGAAGACTCGGCTCCTGGTCATTTGTGTCTCCGAAGGCTGACCTTAACCTTCTGGTGCTGTCTTATTCCCCTGTTCCTCAAGAGTGCTTCGTCTGATGTCAGCTGCTGCTCAAGTGGGTTAGTCTTACAATTCAAAGGCTTAGACTGGTGAAACAGTAACTTCCAAAGGCCTTATCTAGTAAGGTCTCGAGAGGTGTGTGCCCTGTTGGCCACTTGGGGTTGCTAATGAGTCAGTTTGTCTTCCTATGCGGCTAGCACACTTTGGAGTTTGAGAACCTGATGTGGAAGAAAGACCAGCTATGTCAGTGTCCTCACAGGGGAAGGGCTTGCCCTGATGGCTCCTGTTCCGTACAGTTCACTAAGGAGACCCAAAATCAATAACATTCCCTCAATCTCAGAATATTAGAGTCTGCTCTAGTACAATGCTTCTCAAACTTGTGGGTTGACAACCCCTTTTTAAAGGCAAAAGAAAACATGACAAGAAGTTACCATGAATTCAGTAACATGAATTTTTATTCATCACATCAGCATGTGTTTTGAAAACGAATTATACAAGGCACACATATGCTGCTAGTGGGATTGTGAATTGGTATGATTTCTGGAAAGCAATTTAGAATTATGCCAAGAAAGTGACTGAAATATCCATATCCTTTGATGCACAGAACCAACTGCTAGGCGTCCTGAGGAGGCCAGTGATAAAAGGAAAGGCACTCCATGTAGTCCAACATGTTTGTAGCAGCACCTTTCTGTAGTAGCAAAGAACTGGAAACATGTCTTAATTATGAAATGGTTTAACAAGTTGGGGCACAAATTAAATATGAACATGGGGAAGCATGGAGAGATAAGACAACTCTGCATTGGCTGCAACAACATAAATGGAAAAATAACAACAAATGAATGCCGTGAAAAGAAGTAACAGGAACCCTGCTTTCTTTGTAGAAGTGAGGAACTATGGATGTGGCGCCCTCCATACAATGTTGGGTTGTTTTTAATGTGTTAGTATTATTAAACTTTTTTCCCTTTTTTGGGATGGCTGGGGGGGGGTTGGGGGAGTGCTGATGCTAACTACCTGTGTGACTTTGAGTGTCAATGATTCCTAGGCCTCAGTTTCCCCATATGTTGAACTAGGCTGCTGAGATATAGTGCTTTCCATCTCTAGACCTCTGATCCTATGACACTGTGACCTATTGGGAAATGTAGGTGATGTACAAAGAAAATATCAATGAAATTTAGCATTTTTAAAAGTGAGTTTTATATGTATGAGACCTTCAACCTATATAAGGTACCCTTGCTTATCAAACTGAGTTAAGCAGCATGTTTTACTGGAGTTAAATATCAAAATGGCAACGTTTGACATGCATGATTCCTTTAAATAATGTGTCCTCCAGGTTAGGAACCACTGGCCTACTGAATTTAATAATTCTATCCTCTCCCTAAGGGGCAGCTAAGTGCACAGTGGACAGAGTCCCAGGCCTGGAGTCAGAATTATTCATTTTCCTGAGCGTAGATCTGGCCTTAGACACTCATTAGCTATATGACCCTTGGCAAGTCCCTTAACCCTGTTTGCCTCAGTTTCCTCATCTGTAAAATGACCTGGAGAAGAAAAAGGCAAACCAGTGCAGTATCTTTGCCAAGAAAACCCCAGATGGGGTCACAAAGAGTTGTATTGTCAGACAACTGAAACGAGTGCACAGCAACAAGGCATCATAATCAGATTTGGGCAAACCACTCCAGTACCTTTGCCAAGAAAACCATGAAATGGGGTCAGAGAGAGTCAGACACTGACTGAAAAACAACCAAACCTCTCCTTAACTCCTTGAGTTTGTGAAGCCAACACCCTAGTACCTTCCCAGAGCTCATAACTTCCTGCCAGGAGCAGAAGTTTGGACTATAGTCACTCTTCAATTGAGCAAACCTTAAGTTATCTACTTCCTGTAAAGCACTATGGGGATACGAAGAATAGTTCCTACCTTCAACACACTCAAACCAAGGCTGATCATTCAAGACAATTTCAAAGGACCCATGATGAAAACTAGTACCTACCTCCAGAAAGAGAACTGATGAATTTTGAGTGCAGATTGAAGCATACTTTTAAACTTTATTTTTGTTGGGGATTGTGTGTGTGTGTGTGTGTGTGTGTGTGTGTGTGTGTGTTACCTTTTGTAACATAGCTAATAGGGAAATATGTTTTGCATGACATGTATAATCAATATCATATTGCTTGCCTTCTCAGTGGGTTGGGGAGGGACAGGAGGGAGAGAGACTTTGAAACTCAATTTTTTAAAATGAATATTAAAAAACTTTTACATGTAGTTGGGAATTTTTTTTAAAGCCAAGGCTGTATGAAGGGAATTAGAAATGATGAAGGAGGGAACTCCTTCCCAGGGAGGTGGGATTAATTAAGAAACATTTAGGAAGTGCTTACGGTGTGCTGAGCTCCGATAGGAGATAGCTAGGAAGATACAAAATTTAGATTCTCCCAGATGAACATACTCTAGGCCAATGCTAGCTGACTGGGCAAAGAGGGTGGGGAGGGATGAGGCAGGTGCTGAATGTCAGTGGGCACCATGATGTGAGCAGCTTTCATTGGCTCTCTCAAAAACCCCTTGGAAAGCCCCAGCTACAACTACTACCCGTGTGTGTGTGTGTGTGTGTGTGTGTGTGTGTGTGTGTGTGTGTGTGTGTGTGTGTGTGTGTGACCCAGAAAATGGAAATAAGTGAGGGGGGAGAGAGGATGGAAGGTGGCGGGAAAGGCAAGAAGAATGGCTCAGAGCCGAGCACGGAGGCCTCCCCAAAATAACCACACTCTAAATTGCTTCAGCCTGGTGCTGCCCCAGGGCCCTAACTGTCAGCCCTGCAGGAAGCGAAAGCCACAGGCTTTGAGAGCCTTGGGGGGAGGGGAGGAGAGCCATGTTTCCTACAGGGCCACTGTGTTGCTGCCCTCCTTTGCCTTTTGCCTTCCTCACAGTAGACCCTGTCGGTGTTGGGAGGGTGGGGGGCTCTTGGCCACAGGACCTTCTTTTGCTTTTGTTCCCTGGTTCCCTCTGGCCAAGCTGGAGGACTCTCTTTGCACCCAGAGAGACAAATCACTTCCTCTCCCACCCTCCCCGATGGGGGCGAGGCACTGCACAGCAGCTCTAAGGTCTGGGTAAAAGGGCACTAGGCCACTGAGCCCCAATCCATCACCTCCTCCGGCCTACAGAAGTTGAACTGGGAGATTAAAGTAGAGGTGACTGTGGACCCAGGTTTCTGAACTATCTTCAACTACCAAACTGCTCCCTCCTGCCTTGCTTTCATGGTCATTTTCCCGTCATGAGGGTGGAGGTCAAATTCCCATTCTGGAACTCACCATTTTGCCATATCCCCTAGCTTAATCTCATTACTACTTTTTTCTCGCTTTCTGCCTGCCTGAACCATGGGACTCTTGGAGCTGAGGGATCATTGGATTTAAAGCAACTTCTTTACCCTTTTCATTTTATAGATAAGTGAAATGGAGGCACAGAGAGGTTAAGAAACTTGCCCAAGATCACAGAGGTTGTGAGTGACCCATCTGGTATTCAAACCCAGGGCCTCTGACTCTACAGACAATGCTTTCTTTCCATTATACTGCAATCTTCTCTCCTTGTCTAGCTTCATTCTTTCCCAGCTGCCCTCCTTCCCAACTCACTCCCATCTCCAGTGCAGTTTTAGCTATAGCTTCGAGGGTTATCTC